TGGTTTTGAGTCGGTCGGTGCGGCGTCTGCCCCCAGCGGTAGACGCCGCAATGGCAAGGGCAAAGGGGGCAAGGGAGCGGGTGGAGCTAGAGGGGGCGGTGGCGGGGGAGGTGGGGGTGGCGGGGGGAGTGGGGGTGGCGGTGGAGGTGGTGGCGGGAGTGGAGGTACTAGTGGCGGCGGTGGAGGCGGAGATGGCGGCGGAGGAGGTAGCGGAGGAGGTGCTCTCAGGTACTGGTGAGTCTGCCCTCTCAGGTACTGTGTCGGCTTCGGCCTCTCACACCTTCACCCTTGACTCTGGAGCGTCTCGCTCCTTCTTTCGGGACCGCACCACTCTCACGCCGCTTAGTCGGCCGGTTGCGGTGTCCCTGGCTGACCCCTCGGGGGGGCCTGTCCTGTCTCGCTTCTCCACGGTCCTTCCGTGTCCGGCGGCCCCCTCTGGCACCCTGTCTGGTCTCTACCTCCCCTCGTTCTCGACGAACCTGGTGAGTGGTGCTGACCTACAGGATGTGGGTGTCCACCAGTTCACTCCTGCTCGTCAGCGGGTGACACACTGCACGGAGGCTAGCACAGGTCGCCACCTGGCTACGTTTACACGTCGGCCGGGGTCGAGCCTGTACACACTGACCACTGCTTCTCCTCCAGGTACTGAGTCTGGTAGGGTCCCTTCGTCTGGTCAGGTGTTTGCTGCAGCGTCCAGGTCTGGCCCTGAGTCTGCCCCCTGTTCGTGTCGTCGTCTGTCTCACGAGACCCTCCTCTGGCACCACCGCCTTGGCCACCCCTCTCTGCTTCGGCTCAGAGGTATGGCCTCCCGTCTTCTTGTGTCTGGTCTTCCCCGGTCCCTCCCTCCCCTTCCTCAGGGCCCTGGCCCTGCCTGTGTCCCCTGTGTCGAGGGGCGCCAGCGTGCTGCCCCTCACTCCTCCCAGTTTCCTCCGACAGAGGCCCCGTTGCAGACGCTTCACATGGACGTGTGGGGCCCAGCCCGCGTCCTTGGACAGGGTCAGGAGCGCTACTTCCTGCTCGTTGTTGACGACTACTCGCGTTACACCACAGTCTTCCCCTTGCGCAGCAAGGGTGAGGTCACTGAGGTGCTGATCGACTGGATCCGCGCAGCTCGTCTTCAGCTCAGGCAGAGCTTTGGCTCCGACTTACCTGTGTTGCGTCTGCACTCGGACAGAGGCGGAGAGTTCTCCTCTACCCTTCTACGTACCTACTGTCGAGCGCGAGGCATCCGCCAGTCCTTCACGCTTCCGGACTCTCCGCAGCAAAATGGGATTGCTGAGCGCCGCATTGGCATGGTCATGGACGTTGCCCGTACGTCCATGATGCATGCGGCTGCCCCCCATTTTCTGTGGCCGTTTGCGGTCAGGTACGCAGCGCATCAGATCAACCTCCACCCCAGGGTCTCCAGGCCGGAGACCTCCCCAGCCCTGCTGTGGACAGGGAAGGTTGGCGATGCGTCGGCGTTCCGGGTCTGGGGATCTCGGGCGTTTGTCCGCGACCTGTCTGCGGACAAGCTGTCCCCTCGCGCTTCTCCCTGCGTCTTCCTGGGGTTCCCCCCCGACGCCCCTGAGTGGCAGTTCTACCACCCCACCTCTCGACGTGTTCTGTCCTCCCAGGACGTCACGTTCGACGAGTCGGTACCCTACTACCGCCTCTTCCCCTACCGCACTCCTTCCCTCCCCCCGCCCCCGCTCTTCTTGGTACCAGGTCCCCCCCCGGTAGACCCCCTCCCCCCTCAGGGTCCTGCCCCTTCAGGTGTGTCCCAGGTAGACGCGGTCGAGCCTGTCGAGGTCACTGGTGACTCTGATGCTGCTGCGGGTGCTGAGCCTGGGGGTGCTGGGCCTGGGGGTGCTGAGCCTGGGGGTGCTGAGCCTGGGGGTGCTGAGCCTAGGGGTGCTGAGCCTGGGGGTGCTGAGCCTGGGAATGCGAAGTCTGGGGGTGCGGAGTCTGGGGGTGGTGAGCCTGGGGGTGCTGAGCCTGGGGGTGCTGAGCCTGGGGGTGCTGAGCTTGGGGGTGCTGTGCCTGGGGGTGCTGTGCCTGGAGGTGCTTCGTCTCGCCGTGAGGCCACTCTCCCCACAGGAGCTGCGTGAGTGGTTTGCTAGGCGCTAGAGGCGTGCTGCTGGTGCTGGAGTTTCTTCGCCTGCAGAGGGTGCCACTGCCGCGGGTCCCGGAGGTGCTCGTCTTGGGAGTCCTGGAGCTGCTGGATCTGAGGTTTCTCCTGGAGCTGGTGCTGCTGAGGGTGTTGGCACTGGGACTGCCGCTGGCGGTCCGCCTGGCAGTGCTCCTGGTGGTGCTGCTGGAGGTTCTGGAGCTACTGGTGGTGCTGCTGGAGGTGCTGCTGGAGCGGGTACTCCTGCTTGGGGTACTAGTCCTGTCCCTGCTGTTTCTGGCGTTGCCGCGCGGCCCCGACCGTACTTCGTTCCGCTCCTGCAGCAGGTTCTTGGTCTTACACCTTCTCCTGGTCCTCCTCCTCCTCCCTTAGAGGGTCCGCCGCCTGTCCAGTCACAGCCACCGCTACAGCCTGCCTCCCCTTTGCCTGCTCCTTCTCCCTACGCTGGTCCGACTGGAGGTCTTACTGAGCGTCGTGAGCCTGCGTCTCGTCCTGCGTCGCCTGTTCGTACTGCGCGCGCTAGTGGTCGCGGGTCGCGTCAGCGTCCTCCTCCTGTCCCTGGCACGCACCGGATGTCACTGCGTCCGTCCACTGCTCCTCTGCGTGCCCCTTTGCCTTCTCCTCCTGCTTCCTCTCTTCCTGCTCTTGCCGACCTGGAGTCGGACTCTCTTCGTGCTGCCAGTCCTACTGTCACGCGTCTCCTTGCTACTGCTGTCACTGACCCTTCCTTCGAGTCGTCTGCTGCGTCTGCCCTTGTCACTGAGCTTGTCGACTTTGCTGCGCGCTGTCGTCTAGACTACGCTGCCAGTCTTGTCGCTGAGTCTGAGTCTGCCTGTCCTCCGTCCGTCGGGGGTGAGTGTGCCCTTGGCACGGACGTCCTTGAGGACAGGCAGGAGGAGTTCCAGTGTCTGGCCGCCGCTTCACCTCATCTCGCATCTGTACTTCTAGCCCCTGAGGGAGACCCGGATGCACCAGACATCCCGACTCCACGCTCTTACGCGGAGGCGATAGAGGGTCCCTACTCCTCTCAGTGGCAGGCAGCTATGAATGCAGAGATGGCTTCCTGGAAGTCCACAGGCACCTACGTCGACGCTGTTCCCCCTCCTGGGGCGAACATAGTCAGTGGCATGTGGATTTTCAGGGTGAAGCGGCCGCCGGGTTCTCCGCCTGTCTTCAAGGCGCGTTACGTGGCTCGTGGCTTCAGTCAGCGGCAGGGGGTTGACTACTTTCAGACCTTCTCCCCCACCCCGAAGATGACCACTCTTCGGGTTGTACTGCACGTTGCTGCTCACCGTGACTACGAGCTCCACTCTCTCGACTTCAGCACCGCTTTCTTGCAGGGCAGCCTGCACGAGGAGATCTAGGCTGCGTCGCCCACCTGGCTTCACTGGGTCTTTCCCTCCTGGTACCCAGTGGAGTCTCCGGCGTCCAGTCTACGGTCTCCGCCAGGCGCCACGTGAGTGGCACAACACACTGAGGACTACGCTCGCGGCTCTTGGGTTTGCTCCTTCTACTGCCGACCCGTCGCTGTTTCTGCGCACCGACACCTCTCTGCCGCCGTTCTACATCCTCGTGTACGTCGACGACTTGGTCTTTGCCACAGCTGACACTGCTGGACTCGCCCACGTGAAGTCCGAGCTGCAGAAGAGACACACGTGCACTAACCTGGGTGAACTGCGTAGCTACCTTGGCTTGCAGATCACCTGGGACAGAGCACGCCGCACCATTACCCTGACTCAGTCACACATGGTGCAGCAGGTCCTTCAGCGCTTCGGCTTCACGTACTCCTCGCCTCAGGCCACTCCTCTGCCTACTCGCCACTCGCTCTCAGCTCTGCCTTCGGATGAGTCCGTAGAGTCGAGTGGCCCGTTTGCAGAGCTTGTTGGCTGCCTCATGTACCTGATGACCTGCACACGACCTGACCTTGCATACCCTCTTAGCATTCTCGCACGCTATGTTGCTCCTGGGAGACACCGACCAGAGCACATGGCTACAGCGAAGAGGGTGTTGCGCTACTTGTGCAGTACGTCGGGCATGGGGCTAGTGCTTGGAGGGCGCAGTCCAGTGGTCCTCACTGGGCACGCAGACGCTTCTTGGGCTGACGACCAGGCTACGCAGCGGTCGTCACAGGGTTACACCTTCAGCCTTGGTTCCGGCTCTGTTTCGTGGCGGGCTACCCGCTCGTCTTCTGTTCTCGGCTCCAGTTGTGAGGCTGAGATCTACGCTGGGGCTATGGCTGCTCAGGAGTTACGCTGGCTCACCTACCTGCTGACCGACCTTGGAGAGCAGCCTCGTTCTCCTCCAGTCCTGTACGTAGACAACAAGGCCATGCTGGCCTTGTGTCGAGAGCAGCGACTGGAGCACAGAACGAAGCACATTGCTCTCCGCTACTTTCTTGCTCGTGAGCTACAGCAGCGTGGACAGTTGCGACTTGCGTACGTGGCCTCTGAGGCCAACACTGCTGATGTCTTCACCAAGGCACTTGCGCCTTGTGATCATCAGCGTTGTTGCACGCAGTTGGGTCTTGTGCCTGTCTTGCCTCACTTGCTCTCCTCTTGACCTTGCTTGTACCTTCGCCTATATATACTCTTGCTCTTGCTTACTTGACTCTTGTATATCTCTATATATGATCTTGCATGTGAACTGGCCTTCAGGCCTTTGAACTTGTGCTCGGAATGCGTGGTGACTTTGTGATCCACCCTGAGCTTTGCTTTGCTTTGCTTGACTGGTCTTGTGACCCCTTGTTCTCCCCCACTTTGCCTATGGGGGTGTGTCAGAACATATAGCTTACTTGTTTCTGTAGGCTATAGTGGGGTATCCCATAGGGGGTACAACCCAAATTAGGGTTTCCTATTTGTACTCACTTCGCTCATAGTCATTTCATTCTCGTTCATATTTTCTCACCAGTGCCCTTGCCCCCCTTGCCCTTGCTGGTGCGGTGTCTCCCGCTCGGGGCAGACGCAGCGCCGACCGACTCAAAACCAACGAGGTCGGCCGCAGCAGCAGAGGCAAGAGAGGGCAAGAGGGGGGAGGGAGAACACCCCTCAAAGACGGGGGTGCGCGGGTCACCACAAGAGGCTCCTACAGCGACTATGCTCTTCTCTATCGCTAGGAGGGCCTTCTCAAGGAGGTCAACGGTGAGAGTGGTGGGGCAAATAGAGAGGAAGTGGTCCCTGACTACCCGAAGAGAGTCAGGGAGCTGGGTGACTATTTAGTAGAGGGTGATGTTCATAAGGGGGGGGGGTTCTTGGTGCAGAATTCAGCCAGAAGCGCAGCGCGGTAGCGAGTGTCACTAGTGCGGAGGTGGGTAATGAGGTCAGCGAGAGTGAGAAAGGCAGAATGGTCAGGGAAGAGGTACGGTAGTATGTGGCGGCTCAGTGCAGCAGTGGCAGGGGAAGAGTAGCGTGCAACTACAGCGTCGTACAAGGTCTGAGCACTCTTGTACTGGCTAAAGTGTGCACGCTTAGTGGTCGGCAAGTGGTGGCGCACAGCAAGGCGAGCAGTAGCGTCACGTGTGGCCCACTATGAGCGAACAGTGGCGTCAGCATCAGCAGCAGGGGCAGGGGAGGCACCAGAATTGAGGTCAAACAGGGAGAGGCCGTCTGCCCTATTGCACTGCAGGAAAAGCTGCAGATCATCTACCCAGACCTCAAAGTCCACTGCCCGACCCTCAGCGTCAAAGGTGAGAACGCTAGGGGAAGCCATAATAGGAGTAGGCAGGGCAGTGTAGTGGCAGAGACTGTGCTCTTACCAGGTAGGTGGGGCGATCGGGCTGCTCGGCAGCTCGGCTGTCGGGCGGCTCGGCTGCAGGGCGGCTCGGCTGCTGGGCGGCTCGGGTGGTGGGCGGCTCGGCTGCTAGGGCAGCTCGGCTGCACGGTGCTAGGCAGCTCGGCTGTCAGGCGGCTCGGCTGCTGGGCGGCTCGGCTGTTGGGCGGCTCGATTGATGGGCGGCTCGGCGGTCGGGTGGTCGGGCGGCTCAGCTGGCCGGCGGTTCGGCTGCTCGGCGCTGCGGGCGCTGGGCGGCGAGGTTGCAGATGGTGGCGAGGTTGCAAGGGTGGGCGGGGCCGCGGTGGCGACGGGGCCGAAGTGGGCGACGTAGCGATGCTGTGACGGGGCCGTAGCCGGGCCGACAGGGCCAAAGCGAGGCCTAAGTGGGGCCGTAGCGGGGCCGACGGGGCCGTAGCGGGGCCTAAGCGGGGCCGACGGGGCCCTAGCGGGTCCTAAGCGGGGCCGTAGCGGGGCCGACGGGGCCGAAGCGGGGCCTAAGTGGGTCCGTAGCGGGGCCGACGGGGCCGTAGCAGGGCCTATGCAGGACCAACGGGGCCGTAGCGGGGCCGGATGGGGCCGTAGCGGGGCCGATGGGGCCGTAGCGGGGCCGTAGCGGGGCCGTAGCAGGGCCCAAGCGGGGCCGCCGGGGTCGAAGCGGGGCCTAACTGGGGCCGTAGCGGGGCCGACGGGGCCGTAGCGGGGCTGTAGCGGGGCTGTAGCGGGGCCGACGGGGCCGTAGTGGGGCCGATGGGGCCATAGCGGGGCCATAGCGGGGCCGTAGCAGGGCCTAAGCGGGGCCGACGAGGCCGAAGCGAGGCCTAAGCGGGGCCCGTAGCGGGGTCGAGGGGGCCTAAGCGGGGCCGTAGCGAGGCCTAAGCGGGGCCGTAGCGGGGCCGACGGGGCCGTAGCGGGGCTGTAGCGGGGCCGTAGCAGGAGCTTAAGCGGGGCCGCAATGGGGCCGTAAGCGGCCTAAGCAAGGCTGTAGAGGGCGGCTTGAGGGGCAGTAAAGGCAACCAACAGGGGCCACTAAGGTGGCTCGAGGCGCTACTCGGGTTAGGAGCTAAGCGCGCTCTGGGCAGGGAAGGAAAAAAATATTCGTGTTGGGCCCTAGGCAGTATTCCCAATCGGGAACCTGCTTGATACCATGACGAGAAGTGAGAATGGAATGAATGAACTATGAAACAGTTGGGTACAAGTACTAACCCTAATTGGGTTGTATCCCTTGTGGGCTACCCCACTACAGCCTACACAAATGTATAAGCTATAATGTTCTGACAGCCATTCCACCTGCATCAAGAAAAGCAACCACAATGAGTCTTATGACCTTAAACCCTCCCCTGGAATAGCAACTCACTCAGCACATTCAAGGCGTAGCCAACTGCAGGGAACTTCACCATGATCGTTGTCACCTTCTTGCTCCCAAAACCGCGCACCAGGACGTGTTCGAATGCTCGGTTGGCAAACGGCCTACACGTTGCAGCGTTGAAGTGCCAGTTGGATCCAAAGCGTGCTGTTAAAACAAACAGGAAACGATGGTTAGAAACAATACACGTTGCTGCAAAATACAAAACCATGGCATTAACAGAGGCCTTAACAAACACACGACGACACATGTACCATGAAGGTAGAACAGGGTCCACTCCGAAGGGGACCTGCTGCACTTCGGCGCCACTCCTTCGTCCGCCAACTCCTTCCATTTACTCTCTGGGACGCACCCGCCCGGGCCGCGCCCATAAGTCTTGATGTTGCCGTTGTAATTGCTCCGCCGCTCTGACGCCTTGCGCATGGCCAGGTTTTCCTGTCCAGGGAACATGCAGATGACATAGTAGAATATATCCTTCCCCACACCAGCTTCCGCGTACTTCTCTGCCATCATTTCTCTCAGCTCGGGCCACAGAGGGTAGAACTTCATCCTCCACGCAGGCGCGGCGGTCGTCATGAACGTGAAAGCCTCTAGCGCCTTTTTCTTCAGTCAGGGCATTCCGGGTGACAGCGTTAATTAAAGAAAGACAGGGAGATGCAATTGCATAAACATTATCGAACAAATGTAGGAAGTATATCCTATCTCAAAACAGAACCGCGAACAAACTCACCGAAAACAAATGGTCTTGTTCAAGTGTTGTAGGGACCAAGATGCTGCCGTTCTGGTCACGTGGTAACTGCTGCAAGTCGAAAGACGGGATCAGTGCCAAGTTCAAGGTTTGCCTTTGCTGCTCGCCGTTGTTGATGATTTGCTGCCGAAGTGCAACGACCAGAGCACACAACTCGTCATAGCGCACATTGAGCGCTACGTATGCAGCCTCCTTCTCATCCAGGGCAATTTGAAGGTCGAGTGCGCGCTCTTGTGTCAGCTTGAGCGTGGATTGCAGGTCTTCATTCTCAGCACGAAGACGAAGCTCTGCTTGTGTTCTCACCAAAGAAACTTCTGTTTGTGGAAGAAAAAAACAAGTGCAAGGTGCGGGATTAGACATCGGGAGACATGGCGAGGAACAAAGATGACAATAAATGCATGTTAAGTTGCGGTTGAGTGTGAAACTATACTCGCCAAATACGAACCTTAGATATAGCAGGAAAAGGAGAAGACTAACGGGTTCATACCTGTGCGAGCCCGAGAGATAACTAGGAGGCCGTGAGCGTTAAGATGCTCCACGGCCTCCATGGCGCCTTCTGCTGCGTCTTCTAACGGCCGAGTCAGATTAAGGGCCGAGGGTAAAATTTCTAGTGCGGAAGAGTAGCAGCCGAAGTGATTGTCGGAGCAGGGGTAGGAATAGCTGTTCCACCGTTGTTACTTGTCTCTGCCATGCTGCCCTTTTTGGCTTTCTTACGCAACAACTCGGCAGGCAGGATGCCCTGTGCCTTCATGGCTTGCATCCAATCGACGAGCTGACGAGAAGTGAGAATCGATGAATGAACAATAGAAACAATTGGGTACGAGTACTAACCCTAATTAGGTTGTACCCCTTGTGGGCTACCCCACTACAGCCTACACAAATGTATAAGCTATAATGTTCTTCCACACCCTCATAGGCAAAGTGGGGGAGAACAAGCGGTCACAAGACCAGTCAAGCAAAGCAAAGCAAGCTCAGGGTGGATCACAAAGTCACCACACAGTCCGAGCACAAGAAAAAGGCCACAAGGCCAGTTCACATGCAATTACATATATAAAGGTAAACAAGCAAGGACAGGTATCGAAAGAGGACAGTACAAACAAGATCAAGAAGTGAGCAAGTGAGGTCAGGTAGGCACAAGACCTAGCAAAGTGCAGAAGCGCTGATGATCACAAGGCGGAAAGGCCTTGGTGAATATATAAGCAGTGTTGGCCTTAGAGGCCATGTAGGTGAGGCGGAGCTGACCACGCTGCTGCAGCTCACGAGCCAGGAAGTAGCGGAGAGCAATATGCTTCATTCTATGCTCCACTCTGTGCTCCCGACACAAGGCCAGCATGGCCTTGTTGTCTACGTACAGAACTGGAGGAGAACGAGGCAGCTCTCCTAGGTCAGTCAGCAGGTAGGTGAGCCAGTGTAGCTCCTGTGCAGCCATGGCCCAGCGTAGATCTCAGCCTCACAGCTGGAGCTGAGAACAGAAGACGAGCGGGTAGACCGCCACGAAACAGAGCCGGAGCCAAGGCTTAAGGTGTAACCCAGTGACGACCGCTGCAGAGCCTGGTCGTCAGCCCAAGAAGCGTCTGCGTGACCTGTGAGGACTACTCGACGTCACCCTCCAAGCACTAGCCCCATGCCCGACGTGCTTCACACGTAGCGCAACACCCTCTTCGCTGCAACCATGTGCTCTGGTCTGTGTCTCCTAGGAGCAACATAGCGTGCCAAGATGTTAAGAGGGTATGCAAGGTCAAGTCGTATGCAGGTTATCAGGTACATGAGGTAGCCAACAAGCTCTGGGTACAGGCCACACAACTCTACGGACTCATCCAAAGGCAGAGCTGAGAGCGAGTGGCGAGTAGACAGAGGAGTGGCCTGAGGCGAGGAGTACGTGAAGCCGAAGCGCTGAAGGACCTGCTGCACCATGTGTGACTGAGTCAAGGTGATGGTGCGCTGTGCTCTGTCCCGGGTGATCTGCAAGCCAAGGTAGCTACGCAGTTCACCCAGGTTAGTGCACGTGTGTCTCTTCTGCAGCTCGGACTTAACGTGGGCGAGTCCAGCAGTGTCAGGAGTGGCAAAGACCACGTCGTCAACGTACAGGAGGATGTAGAACGGCGGCAAAGAGGTGTCGGTGCGTTGAAACAGCGACGGGTCGGCTGTAGAAGGAGCAAACCCAAGAGCCGCAAGTGTAGTCCTCAGTATGTCGTGCCACTCACGGGGCACCTGGCGAAGACCGTAGACTAGCCGCTCGAGGCTCCACTGGGTACCAGGAGGAAACTGATCCAGTGAAGCCAGGAGGGTGGCGCAGCCAGATCTCCTCTTGCAGGCTGCCCTGCAGGAAAGCTGTGCCGATGTCAAGAGAGTGAAGCTCGTAGTAGCTCTGAGCGGCTATGTGCAGCAGCACCCGAAGAGTGGTCATCTTCGGGATGGGAGAGAAGGTCTGAAAGTGAACAACTCCCTGCCGCTGACTGAAGCCTCGAGCCACGTAATACGCCTTGAAGACAGGCGGAGAGCCCGGCGGCCGCTTCACCCTGAAAATCCACATGCCACTGACGATGTTCGCCCTAGGTGGGGGAACCTCGTCGACGTAGGTGCCTATGGACTTCCAGGAAGCCATCTCTGCGTCCATGGCTGACTGCTACTGTGAGGAGTAGGGACCCTCGATCCCCTCAGCGTACGATCGAGGAGTCGGGATGTCTGGTGCATCCGGGTCTCCCTCAGGGGCAATCAAAGTGGACACGAGATGGGGCAAAGCAGCAGCAAAGCACTGGAACTCCTCCTGCCTGTCCTCAAAGACGTCCGTGCTAAGAGCACACTCATCCCGGACAGACGGAGGACAGACAGACTCAGACTCAGCAACGAGACAAGCAGCGTAGTCTAGACGATAGCGAGCAGCAAAGTTGACAAGCTCCGCAAGTAGAGCAGACACCATAGTGGACGAAGCACCGCCGGTGGCCAAACGATCAGACCCAGCACCCCCAGGCTCAGCACCCCCAGTCTCTGCACCTCCACGCTGAGCACCCCGAGGCTCACCACCCCCAAGCTCAGCACCTCCAGTCTTAGCACCCCCAGACTCAGCACCCGCAGACCCGGCACTCGCAGGCTCAGCACATCTAGCAGCACCAGAGTCAATAGCTACCTCGACAGGCTCGACTGTGTCTACCTGGGACACACTTGACGGGGCAGGACCCTGACGGGGAAGGGGGTCTACCTGGGTAGCACTTGGGGCAAGGAAGAGTGGCGACGGGGGAAGGGGAGCAGTGCGGTAGGGGAAGCGACGGTAGTAAGGCACCGACTCGTCAAAGGCGCGAGGTGGGGTGGTAAAACTGCCACCCAGGCACGTCAAGAAGGAAGCCTAAGGAAGACGCAGGGAACAGCACAGGGGGACAGATTGTCTGCAGAAAAGTCGCGGACAAACGCCCGAGATCCCCAGACCCGAAACGGAGACGCATGCACCATGGACCTACGAGCGACGTACATGACCATGCCAATGCGGTGCTCAGCAATCGTAATTTGCTGTGGAGAGGCAGGAAGCGTGAAGGTCTGGCGGATGCCTTGTGCACGACAGAAGGCTCCCAGACGGGCAGAGGAAAATCACCGCCTCTGTCCAAGTGCACACGCAGAACAGGAAAGTCCGAGCCAGAACTCTCCCTGAGCTCGAGACGAGCTGCGCGGATCCAGTCGATCAACACCTCAGTGACGTCACCCTTGCTGCGTAAGGGGAAGACTTTGGTGTAACGCAAGTAGTCGTCAACTACCAGCAGACAGTACCGCTCTCGCCCCTGCCCGCTGACACGGGCTGGGCCCCACACGTCCATGTGAAGAGTCTGCAGCGGAGCCTCTGTCGTAGGAAACTCGGAGGAGTGAGGGGCGGCGCGCTGTCGCCCCTCGACGCAAGGGACGCAGGTAGGGCCAGGCCCTGGAGGAAGGGGAGGGAGAGAGCGAGGGAGACCAGAGACAAGGACACGGGAGGCCATGCCTCGCAGACGAGGCAAGGAGGGGTGGCCAAGGCGGTGGTGCCAAAGGAGAGTTTGGTGGGACAGTAGACGACACGAGCAGGGGGCAGACTCACGACAACCTGGACGCCGCAGCAAACACCTGACGCGACGCAGTGACCTGGGCAGACTCAGCAGCAGCAGGAGACTCAGTAGTAAGGGTGTACAGGCTCGACCCCTGCCAATGGGTGAACGTGGCCACGTGTCTGCCTGTCCGAGCACACGTGCAGTGGGTCACTCGCTGACTTGAAGGAGGGAACTTGTCAACCCCTCGATCCTGTAGGTCCGCTCCACTCACCAAGTTCGTAGAGAACGAGGGGAGGTAGAGACCAGACAAGGTGCTAGAGGGGGCTGCTGGGCACGGAAGGACAGTGGAGAAGCTAGTAAGGACAGGACCCCCAGAGGGGTCTGCCAGGGAGACTGCAACCGACCGACTAAGCGGCGTAAGAGTGGTGCGGTCTCGAAAGAAGGAGCAGGACGCACCCGAGTCCAGGGTGAAGGTGTGGAAGGCCTGAGCCGACGTCGTACTTGAGAGAGCAGACTCACCAGCACCTTTGGCGGCAAACGCACTGGCACCTCGGGCAGCAGACGCACCAGTACCTAGAGCAGCAGCCTCACCAGCACCTAGAGCAGCAGCCTCAATGCCCGGGTCAGGCGGTACACACAGGTAACAGTCACCAGCAACACTAGTATCAACAACATATATGGCCGCAAGAATAGCATCAAAGTCAAGATCAAAGATAGCAATCCCGGCCTTAGCTTGATCTCCCCAGCGAGGGATCTCTAACGCCTCAGGGAATTGGCAACGCCACGCGTCCGTCAGGCAACCAAAGTAGCGCTGGGTG